CATGTATGAACAGGTCAGAGGGTTGTGGCTACACTGTGTATCAATGAGTTTTACAATATTATTATTACTAATGATTATTTCTAGAAATACACAATACACCAGACAAAATGTTAGTAGCTCTCTATTGTTATGGTTCAATATTATTTATTCTTTTTCATAAACCACTTTCAAGGAAAAGCATTTTTGTACAACAATAAATAATCTCTACAATTTTTAAAGCTTTTCTAGCGACGTTATTACTGGATCTGCTTGCCAAGGGTAAGGACTCAATAGCACTATTTACTAATTTGAAAAGTGTGACATCTAACATCTAATGTTACATCTAAATGTACCAGAGACATGCCATCAATGCCAGCACATAAGATGCCGTCAACTTGTAAATCAAACAAAATTGTGAGCATTAACCATGACATGTGCATGACTGTGTAGATAATCTGTTTTAACACCCAATGTGAAAGCTCATAAAAATACCTGTCATGTGTTAAGTGTGTTCAGTGTTGTATGTAAGATATGCAATGTTGTATTTATACTAAGCAATAAAACTTATCCCACAAAATGAGAATTATAGCAAAAGTCTTAACAGGGCTAAAGACATTTAAAAGACTTTGAAAAGTAAACTTTTCAAAACTTTTCTAGTCTTTTTTTTTTATCTTTTAAACTTTTTTAGTCTTGTTAAAAATTTTGTTAGAAATATCAAGTGAATTATATGGACAAAATGAGAATTATATATGGAACTGTACTTTATTATGTGTTAGCCATTTTTAAGACACTGGGTCTGCATATGAGAAGCCGCCACACATGCCAGAACATGCACCTGATGCACTTCTTTTTGCTGACTGAAGGTGAAGCAAGCACAGTGTTTGCACTTTTGAAAAAGTCAATCATATGTACAAGTACATACTTATGTGCATTATAAACTGTGGAGTTGTTCTTGAACAAGAACATGAACAATGATCAGGAATTTTATATAAAACTACAAAAACTATGTTTATAAGCGGTGTTCATTCATTTCATGACTCTGCCAAAATAGGAGAATGTTAAGTTATGCACTGATTCAGCATTATATTCATGTTAGCTGTATGTCATTGTTACTTGACCTGGTGAAACCTGTCTGTTAACAGTACTGTACCTGAAATTATATTAGAAAAATTAAGTAAACCCAAATAGATTTGTCTAAAGTCTGGCATCTTCTACGTGGTTTGCAAGATCATATATTTCCTTGGCAACATCCTCAATATCACCATAGTAACTGCTACTGCTGACACTTGAGCTGTCGCCATGACTCTGATATCCATTTTTCTTGGGAGATATCTCACCATTATCATATATTCCATTTTCAACAAAGACAGGACTTTTACCATTTGTATCCACATGGTGATGACCATTCACGTAGCCATTATGTTTCTGACTGTCAAGTTGTACATGACGTAGCTGTTGGCGCACCTCTTCTAACTCATTTGTTGAACCATCGACATTACCGTCACCTGCAGGGTTATCAGGTCGTGCACTTTTGCGTAATCTTGCCTTTTGCTCTCTTAAAAGGCCGTCTGACTGAGCATCCTTATCAGTTTCATTGACATTTATAATAACTCCTTTCTCTATAGCATTTTCTTTTGCCCTGGCTTCAGTCTTGTGCACAGCACGACCAACCAAAGATGCTGTATTTTTTGGATTATCTGAAGACTGAGAAGAGTCATCACTTTGTTCCCTCACGGTACCAGCAGGTTCACCTATGAAAACAAAGACAAGATTCCCATCACTAATTAACAGCTGGCAGTTAGTAATAAGTATGGGTTATTGACCAAGTGTAAGGTCAAGATGGCTGGATATTGGCCAAGTTCTTTTTTGCGTGTTCATGGACCGAAACAGAGGCGAGGTCCATAAACTCACAAAAAAAGAACCACGCCAATATCAAGCCATCTTGACCAAACAAGCTTGGTCAATAAAGGATTTATTTTATGGCTTTTTGGGAAAGGGAAATTTTTCTTGCGGGACACGGCGGGTAGTTGCGAGCAGGCAAGATACCTCCATCTTGCCCGCTCGGGTAGCCAATCACAGCACAGGATTTGATTCATCTTACCTGCTCACGGAGCTAGCCATATAAATAAAACTTAATCAATCATGATTCTGTCTCATGTTTTGATTTACTTACTAATTATTCTTTGCATCACTTTGCGGGTGTATTTCTTCCATAATGTAGCGCCATAGTTAATGGCAGCTTCATTTTGATCTTCAATCGGAAGAGCATCAACCTCAGTGAGAGAGACATCCAGTGAGGACAACACAATGTCTTTGTCACGTGCTCCTGTGGCCAGCAGGGTCCCATCAGGGGACAGAGCTAGGGCCTCCACCTAAAGGAGAGAATGTCATCATTATAACATTCCACTACATTCTGAAACAATTGATTTGCCAGATGCTGGAATTTTCTCTAAATAGAACCAAAATGATAGGGTTTTTGCACTGAGGCCAATGGTGGAGTTTTTCCACTCGTGTTGTGATTTGTTAAGTCATTTCAATTACTGCAAAAAAAATAATTTTAAAATAACTCCCTGGAATTGGAGACATACCTCTAATCCCAGCCTGTGCTGTTTGATCATCTGAAGCTGTTTGCCCCGTTTTCTTAAGGGATGCCACACTCGACATGAGTTGTCGCCAACAGAAAAGATGATTGGAACTGATTTGCTGCTGATCACTGGATAAAACTGCACCTCATTTACAGAGTCCTCATGTCCACGAATTTTAATGAGCAGAGTTCCACTTCTTGGTTCCCACAAAGAAATCTGGCAGATAATAACTATTGTTTTAGTCAAATAAAAACAGCAGGGGAGAGGAAATCAGTCTCTTCAAAATGCCATTTAAGTAACACAAATAACTAGTTTGGTGGAAGAAAAAAGAAACTTAAGTTTACTAATTTTAGGTTAAAAAGTATATTCACTTACAATCAAAGGAAAGGGGAATTTTACAGTACCTATCACAAATCTCCAAGTATTCTTGAAATTTTTAGGTCTTAGTTCCGTGAAAATAATATCTGATATCATGCAAAAGTTCAAACAAATCAAACATAATATTGGGAGAAATTAAAAGTACAGAATGACGAGACATTAACTCACTTTCCGCTATTTGGTTCAAAAATTTACAAGGTAAAGATGACTTTGACTGACCTAGTGGGGGAATCATTGACATGTTTGCTTTCTCCAGCTATTAATAATTGATTACAGATCATACTCGATTACACCATCCACTGATTGTACGCGATTATATGACCTTCTAAATGCGAGTCTAATATCACCACTCAACATGACTAGACTTTTCTTTCTTGTTCTGACTAACAAAAGAAGTCAAGCGTTGGCAAGGTCTATGTATGACGTCTTTGGTTCCCAGAAGATGGTAACCAAAAAAAACAACAAAACATTAGACAGTTGACGGACAACTCGTTCAAATTTGCATTCGAATCAACTAAGACAGTTTTTTTTTCATTCCACACTCTTGTAATAAACAAGTGTAATTGACAACTTAAGAACGCGCAACTTCAAAGACCACAATAAGCTTAACTTAAGTCTTCAAACCACAATGTAAACTAAAACCCAAATTTGAACAACTAAAAGTAGTTAAGACAATTGAACTTAGAACTACAGGAAGCATAACTAGTTATGTCCGGAAGTTCTTGTAACTTTGCATTCCTCAAAGAAAGTGCATGTCAAAACATGTCTGAAAGAGATAGATTCCGCGCTCTACGTACCTTCGTGCGCGAAAGAAACTAATTTCGGCTTACATCTGGACTTGTAAATACAATAGAGTCGATCGCAAACACATAATCAGTTCCTCTACGTAGGTAGTCTATCATAGGTGACAGTGATTTCCGCAGCGAGTGGCAATAAAAAGGTCGTAATTCTCACCTTACTATCTGCACCTCCAGAAGCGATATATTCGCCATCGGGTGACCACGCACAGCATTTAACGCTATCTTCATGTCCTCCTATCAAAGACATCACGGAAGTTGCTGTCCGTGTGTCCCATATCCTCAATGAACCATCATCTGCCCCTGAACAAAGTAATCCAGAACTCGGTTGAAACCCACAAGTCCATACACCTGTCGTATGGCCAGTAAGTCTCTGCAACATTTGACCCGTGCGAGCATCCGACAGACACACAGTCTTGTCCCAAGCGGCAGAGGCCAACAAAGTTCCATCGCTTGAGAAGGATGTGCCTAACACCCAGCCTTTATGAGGTGAAAGAGACTGCAGCAGTTTTCCTGTCTCTCCTCTCCACAACGCCACTGTGCTATCTGCGGAACCCGATGCGAGCACACCAAGGCAACCCGTGGACGTCGCTCCTGGCTGCCATGAAAGACATGTTACAGGGCTTCGATGGTGCCGTAAAACAAACACAGATTCCAATGTACTGAGATCCCATATCTGCACGGTTTTATCCCAGCTACTTGACGCGAGATGCAGTCCACCAGGACTAAATTCTAGTCGTGATATATGCCACTTATGGCCGCTTAGATGGGTCTGCTTTTCTGCTGAAACACTCATCCCGATTAGCTTACCGAAAGTAGACCTCGGATAAAAGGGTACCGTCTCTCAACTAGCTGTTCAGAAACGCCATTGATACCCCTTGATACGGAATTATCCGTTTCATGACTTGTTAACCAACTCACATTGTTTTTTGGATTCTTCGCGGTCGTTCAGTCAATATTTCCTTTTCCCTGTTTATCTTGAGTTTTCACTTGACAACCGCTGAAAGACCTCAAAGCTGAGAGTTCATCGCCTGAGAAAATGCCTCTGAACTGACGTAGACCTTTCTAGGTACAATAGATACAGGTTTTTTTTGGCAGTCCTGAAAAGTTTGAAAATATGCAAAACGCAATATGTTCCCACGACCAAATTAGAACTTGGCTCGGGGGACCTTCACGTGTTTATATAGTAGTGGAAGTCACGTGACAACTGTCAAAGGTTATTCGAGCTGTCAGCAGACAGCACTGAAAAAACCTTTACCACTGATGTTAATTTGAGAATGAACGGGGCAAATTTTTATTTGATATATTTCTACATTTTTTGACCAGAACTGATTACTTTAATGATCACAAAATCAGTAGAAAAAATTATCTAAGTCAACATTCTAGGCACATTAAAAGGCAACTGAACCTGGAAATTCTTCAACCAATTAAAACAATCTTAACACAGATCTAGACCTACCCACTGCCTGAGGGTAAACATTTTCATCTTTAAAATTTGCATATTTGTAAAAAAAAAATTTTTTTTTTAAAAAACACCTGCTCAGTCAAGTTTCAGCTGCTGGCAATGTTAGATTTAATAACATGCGCAATTAAAATCTTTTCATTTTTACTCTCAATTCTATATGTAAATATGTAACATCCTCTTTAAACCAACTACTGTAAAGTTATCTTGCAGTATATATTTTGAAAAAGAAAAGAAATGAAAAAGCATGTTACTTAATAGATGTTAACAGTTTAGAAGGGAAGAGATAACTTTTGGGAGACAACTAATTAAAGCAAACTTAAATAATGTAAGTCTGATGTATTAGTACCAAGTTCTCAGGGAAAGTAAGCACCGTGAAATCCCGACAGTGTTTAAATTGGATTGATGACTTTCAAAATAAAGTTACTTGAAAAGATTTTACTGACCAAGTGTAGTCCTGCTTATAGTGTGTAACCCTGTGGACTTGCAATGGCCTAATAGAAAGTTTGGAACATATGTATCAAATCCTGGTAAAAACCATGGTTGGCAGTCGAACAAAAAACATTAGAGACAAATCTAGGACAAACTGAAAATATAATTGCATACTTTTTAGCACAGATTTAATCAGTCAAATCCTTGCCTATTATCTTGTACCTGAAAGCCATACTTTTCAATAGAAATTATTTAGATTAGATTCCCACAAACACTTTGATTTCTTTCCTTCTGAGAGGTTTGATTGTTAAGTTCAAGACTTTGCAAGACTAAATACAGTCGAAGCTCTACCTGCGTCATTAACAACCACCATTATGAATTAATCTTGTTTGAACTGTCACTTTAACCCGATATCTGAAGGTTCTTGGAAGTGGCTGTTCAATGTTTGTTTCCCCTATTTCAGCTCTCGTAAATGACCACTCAAAGATTCTTATTGTTGTTAATGGTCACAAACAATATAACATTGCTAATGGTTGTTGATGAAGATTTCAAAATAAACATTCAAGATGACTGGCTGAAGAATGATTTTTACCCTGAGGCTAAGGTACAAACCTTTATGCTAAAACTTCTGGTAAGTGACTAATCTCTGTAGTTTAAGTGTGTGGTCACTTAAAAGAGATAGTTGTTGGAAAGGATCAGCTCTAGGTATTGTCACTTGTTCAAATTCCCACGGTGTTCACCTAAGAGAGCTCTGACTATATCTTTATTGTGGTCTTGACACACCACAACCAATTTTTGACAGCAATTGAACCAATAATGCACTAAAAGCTCTCGACTGTATCCACTAGCACATTAAAACAATTGTTTGCCTAACATCAGTGGCCCACAAAACTCTTGTGTGTATGTCGAGGGGGGAAGGGGATAGCCACAATTGCCAATGCTTCAGTCATTCCTCAATAGCCCTTATGCATGATGACACCAGACTAGCATAAATTGGTTTGAAAATGCATGTTGTAAATCGCATCATAAACAAATTGAATTCCCAAAGCAGCAAAGATTAAAGAGTATGCACATGTAAGGGGAGGCACGGCGGCCTCATGGTTAGTGTGCTTGTCTCCAGATCGAGCGGTCCGGGTTCGAGCCCTGGCCAGGGACATTGTGTTGAGTTCTTGGGCAAGACACTTTACACAGTGCCTCTCTCCACCCAGGTGTATAAATGGGTACCGGCGAGCTCAATGCTGGGGGTAACCCTGATGGACTAGCAGTCCATCCAGGGGGGAGTAGAAATACTCCTAGTCGCTTCATGATACAGAAACCTGGATAAGCTCCAGTCTGATGGGCCACTTGACTCGCATGCAGACTTTACCTTTATCTTACATGTAAACAACACAAAGGTGCCAGAGGTTTGCGCAAATTTTGCAAAAATTAGTCTTGGTGGTGAATTTTGAGCAGGTGAGGTAATCATGCGCAAGACCTATTCAGGGTCCTCCTGATCTGCAATCCACTTAAAAACAGTAAAATCGTTTGTCAGGTATCAAGTGTACAAATATTTATGAGATTATCTTTAATGGATATCTTTTGACACCACATTCCCATACTGACACAATCTTTGTTCACGCTTTGTATCCTTGTTGGAAATGCGTGTTGTCTGGAATCTCAGAAAGGTAAGGAATTATGCCGGCTGCTGGTTATTGTAAACCTTGTGTACCCTTGTAAACCTATCTGTACCCTTCCTGCAGAAAAAAATAATAGTGATGATGATCACTGATAATGACAATGATCATGATAACAGCGCCAATAAGGATATCAAGGAAGATACCACGTCTTTTCACCAGTCACAACACATTTGCATCACGTCCTCGAACATTTCCTGTACATTATTCTCAAACTTCCATTAAGTTTTCAGTGTTTTCTTACAACTTTCTCGTGTCCAGGCTTTGATCTCTAGTAGCACTTGAAGCAACTTAACTCAAAACTTCTTTATTCACACGTACTTCACAGACCAGCGTTTCCCATGTTGTAAATTTGGTATTGTCACTCCTTTCAGTGAGAGAGAAATTTTCTTCCTTTTTTCCTTCTTCTCTCCAGAATCTTCCTCCCGGACGGTGTCCTTAGTCTGGCTAGGTAACCATGCTTTCGTTTCCTTTTTAGGTTATTCGGCTGATATTCCATGCCATATCTTGTGTAGCGACAGGGCTGTTGGAAAATAGGAAGCACTCTTCCTAAAAGAAAAGACGCACCAGGTAGCTTGGCCGCTGAAGAAAGAGAAAAAGTACGCGAGATCACCGAAGAAAACCAACTCATCTTCTACAAGTTTTCCATGCAACACTGAAGCATTGCATTCCGGGAATTTGATTGGAGGCAAAGCATCATGGGTAGTCGTCTTATCACCCTGATTATCATGGCGGTCTTTTCGTAATTTCCACTCGATGGCAAAACGAAGAAGCCGAATAACTTATGCACCAAAGTCGCGACGCAAAAGTAGTGGATCAGATCGGAATCAGTCAGCTCCTGCACAGGGAACAGGCTCAACAGAAAAAGTAATAAGAAGTAAGGGAACAAGTGTTTCTCGGTCAAGTAGCAGTGAAGACCCTGCTCGTGCAACAGAGGAGGTAAGCTTATCTTGAATTACAAATAATAACAAGGGTAAGGAAGGACTTAGTTTGCATGTAAGTTTTCTCCTCAGACACAGGCTTGCTTACTGGAGGACTGGAGGAATGTGACCAAAGTCCTTTTTGATGTAAACTTAACAAACAGGCGTCAGTTTTTCATGCATCTGTCTTGTTATTGTTCATGAATTTCGTCATAACTTTGTCAAAGGTAGCTGTGGATTCACGAGGCGATAGCCGAGTGGATAAATAACAGGACAGGAGCATGAAAAACTGATCAGTAACAGGACAGACGCATGAAAAACTGTTGTCAGTTTGTTTTTTACTGTAACAAATTGTCAAATTGTCCGTTCTCGCTCATTGCAGAATAGCATAAATTATAAATTCATGTGTCTGTCCGCTTATTGACAATGAAAATTAGCCAATGAGCATGCAAGAGTATCTGCAGTCATTGTAGAAAAAACCTCAGAGTGAGCTGAATTGGTGACCAGGCATCCTGTGCAATTCAAACCCCATTAAATGTTTTTAACTTCTTTTTAAACTGGAAATTTAAACTATAACTAAATTATTTTGGGCTATTACAAAGCATCAGGTACCCATACTTTTTTCTAATTTATGCTCTGTAGAGAAGAAAGGCTGGAAGTTATTCTTCAACTGAAGCAGGATCATCTCCACACAAAGCTTTAAAGAATAAGAGAAATGAAGGTATTACATCCTTTGACTTAAATATAACAGTTAATATATCAGGTTCAAAATAGAAAGATCGAAAGCTTGGCTGTTTCATCATAGTTAGTACTAACTATGGTTTCATCATGCAGAAATAAAGTTGATGTGCTGTTAGAAGGGTGCTGCTTCATAAACGCTGGTTTTCACTAGCAACGGAGTCGTAGTTGGAGTCATAATCAGAAGCGTAGAGCGAGACAATCGAGTGAAAATCAAACTGACGGAGTCAGAAGCAGAACGCGGCATCCGCTTATGACTCCGTCGCTTACGATCTACTGAAAACTGCATTGTTGAAGTCGCAAGCAGAAGCGGAAGAATAAACCAATCACAATGTTCGATTCCGGGTCTTGTAATTTGTAGTAGTTTTGTTTGCAGGTAACACAGTATGAACTTGGATCTTATTTACTCTATGTCTTCCATGCAGACTTGCAACATCAACATATCTTTTCTCAACCCCCCACCCCAACCCCTTTCTTTGGGTATGGTTGACAATGTGAAAAGGAAAACTGATCACATCTGTTACTGAATGCTAAGTTCCTTCATACTATGAAAGCTAGAGTTACTTTCCATATGGACCTTAACCTAGCCTTACAGCTACACTTAGGCTATGTAAACAAGCATGACTGTTCTAAACAGATTTAATAAATGTTTTCTTTTAGATAAAGCAGAAGCATCACCTCATGGTAAACAAAGGGAAGTTGTCAAAAAGAGAGTTTTTCAACGTAAAAATCAAGCTGGGAAGGAAGTCGGAATACCAGAACGCATTAGAGACTTGACTATCACTAGGAAAACATATGCCAAGTGGAAGCCTCTCAGCTTGTCAACAAAGAAGTACACAAAACAAATGATAGACAACACAGTTTTGTGAGTAATGTCCTACTGGTTCCTAAGTTTGTTGGGAGGTGCAGTCACTTGAAGAAAAACTGTTGAGTCAGTAGCTAAATTCTTCTGGAAATTTGCACAATTTAACTCAAATATATGACCACTTCAAGTGTTTCTTTTGGTAATAGATATTTTTAATAGGATTTTTGTAATCTGATCTGTTTTTTGTTCTAAATATTTGGTGGCTTCTGTCCACCTTGATCAGAGTTATAATGTTACAGTGTGACCTACATGTAGAACCAGGCCACCTAGAAGAAAACTAACCAATCAAAACGCAAACTGAGACCAATGGACTGGTTGCTTTTTGTGACGGCAAGTACTAATGGTCTGTGTGACATGAAAATATAAACACTATCAACTCCTATGCTTGATATACACTCTTAGAGATTCAGTCCTTGGTGGCAAATTATCTTAATAATTATAAATCTCCTCGGGAAATTTAGCTCAATTTGCAACAACTAAACTGACACCGTTGAAAACCGTACAAAATTTAGGATCAAAACTAACCAATCAAGAAATGGCAAAGTTTCCTGAGAGGTTAAAAATGTAAATGCAAATTTAATGTCAAACACAGGGAGTGCTTGCATGATAACCCGAGCCAGAGCCTCATGATAAAGTGCCTGACAATAATCCAGATCGAATTGGAATTTGGAAATGTTGGTTTTTGAGGAGAGGGGAAAACCGGAGTACCTGGAGAAAAACCTCTTGCAGCAAGGAAGAGAACCAACAACAAACTCAACCCACATATGACGCCGGGTCCGGGAATTGAACCTGGGACACATTGGTGGGAGGCGAGCACTCTCACCACTGCACCAACCCTGCTCCCCGCAAAGGCTCCCCAGAAAGGTTCGCAACACTTTGCACTTTGTTGGGTTTCCATTTTGTTTTTAAAAGAACTATAATTTGTTTGTTTTCTTGAATGTCATTGGTTTATCTGACAAAAAGATCGCTATCCTTTGTTCTCAAGTTAGGTCTGCTTGGTTTACTCTTTTCCAAGTAGCCCAGTTCAAGTAGTCACACACTAAGGTTCGTTATTGCAATGACAAACAGATCAGATTACAAATTAAAACCTTTTTTAAAAAATAATATATATGACCTTGACATCTTTTGTACTTTGTAGGAGTGTTCTAAACAGCATTCATAAGGAATCCAAAAGGGATGATATTCAAGTTCATTTAAAGCAGTTATCTGACAGGTGTGTATTGTTATCAATAAAATGTAAATCAAACTCCATTAATGTTTTAAAATAAGCTGTATAATTTGAGTATCATTTTTAGGTAAATATTAATTTTCTTTGTTGATTCATGTTTTGGTGGCATACCCTTAAAATCAGCTGGTATGTCTTTGCAAACACCACACTTGAAGTTTGCATCTTATTCTATGGAAATGAAAGTTGATCAAGAATCTGTTTCAACAGGATTATTAAAAGACTTGCTGGCTTGAAGGGACCAACACACCGAGGAGACTACAGCAAAATGGAAGTTGAATCAGTAAGTCTCCAGAGTATTTTTAAAGCACATTCACTCTTTAACTGACCAATGATTTGGCAGCCAATGATGATAAATATGTGTTCACATGGTGGATATTACTGACAACCAGAATGTAGGAGTGTTGCGGAATGTATTGAATGGTGTATTCCATAACATCATGGGCCAGCCAGCAAACAAAGGGATATGTAGCAGTACTTTTGTGTGCATTGCACTGGCCTATAATACTGGTTGAATATGCATTCAATGCATGTTGGTAGCAACCTGCAGTGAGGTTCTACTCAAAGTACTGAATGCACAATTAATTCACATTTCATTCAATGCAGCATGAACTGGAAGATGCCCTGATTTCTTGTAATAGTCAAGTGGAGAATTTAGAGAAGGAAATAGAGGAGCAAAGGAGGTAATATCAGTAACTGTCTGTCAAGTTCTTTATTTATTTATTTCTCATTCATTGGATTTACCATTTCAGTTGAAGAAAGCATCCTAGAATCAACATTTCATAATATATAGATTTAGGCCAGCCTAAAAGCGTAGCTCCTGAGCTGGGTTGTTCAGAGCTAAATAACCCAGGAAAAGGTAAAATTTCAATTTGAGTTTTGAAACTTTGCGTTAAGGTTTTCTGTATATTGTTTGGCCTTCTGTTTTGAGTTTTAATAATCACTATACACACAAAACAAAGCAGNAGAAACAACATCCAAAATAGATGATTATGCAAAATTGGCATCTGGGTAGCCTATGGAGATCCACTTTAAAGCAGTTGCAAATTAATATAATCACTGGATTGAGAAGGTAGTTTTTTTTAGCAAATTTGAAATCTCCAACACGAGTCAATTTGATCAACACTCGCAACAATGGAAATAGATCTCACTTGCTTAAATTTTGCCCCAGACACCCTAGGAGTGTGGCACCTTACAGCCGTATGGAAAGTTCTTGTACGGCCTCTTTTCAAATCCTGGCTAAAAAGGTTCTGAATAACTGGTTATTGGGGCCATTTTTGATTCTAACTTTGGAGGTCATCAAATTTAGAACTTATTGAGATTGGATTTTGTGTTCACTTTATAGTAATAAAGATAAAGAGCCAAATTTTCCTTTCCAGACATACAATGTCATTTGCTGTTTAAATAGGTTGTTTGAGCAGGAAGAAGACTTGTTGAATAGCTACAACATTGAAGGACAGCAGGAACAGACACAGGTGAAGCTTCAGGAATGACTGTCACCCAAAAAAATACTTAAAATTTCAAATTTCATTTTGCAAAATAATGAACATCAAACAGAACTAATTGAAAAAGCTTTCATACACAAAACAGTCTCATCCTGACTTCTGAATGAAGTTTGGACTGTAGTGTAGGAGTTTAAATAAGTATCCTTATAATTAATTAGTAGTAGTTCCATAGTGGTGAGTGGCATATTTCACATATTCTTTCCATAACATGGAGAAATGTTCACAAGGCTAAATTTTGATCAGTTGTTTCCATTCCATGTGATTGACCTTCCACAAAGATCAACATAAGGTCCTGACCTGTTGATCTTTTTAGCCAGAGAAATGTTTTAATCAAACGATCTACCCCTTGCTATCATTCCACTGTTTTCTCACAAATAACAACAGTGCAGAAAACTGATTAGTATTTCTTTCTTGATTGATTCACAGCTTCATCCTCTGCTGCAAGAAACATCTGTGAACACTTTGAATCTTCCCAGCATGTCAATTGAAGGATATAACATGCCCTCAGTCTCTGAGGTATGTATCTTGTGTTAAATGTTATGCACTGGCAAGTCTGTACTGTAGAGTCTATAAAAGAGGATGAACATCTAGTTTGAAGGTTATGTAGGTTTCTGACAAAAGGTGAGAAGCTCATCTAACAACCATTTTGAATAAGCACACCTCCCGTGAAATTCATTTCCATCTCAGTGGTTAAGTGGAATTGGTTATGTCCAGCCAAGGCACTGGCAGGACAATATCCAACAACAATTTCAGGATAACCAACAACTATAAATTGTATTTAAATAATGTAAGATATCTGTGTCTTACAAGGTACCTGCAGTACTGGAGAGCAATGGAAGACGATTAGCACAGTCTCTAACCAAGATTAGTGAACAAACAGAACAACTTGGCTTCACAAACTGGCTGGAAGCTGTATCTCAAACAACTCATAGTTTACTCAGTTCTTAGTAAATTTTGATATTTATTTTGTAAAATACAAGCCATACAGAGTTCAAGATAGTGAACATATTGCTTTGTTCTCTTCTGTAACAGTTGACATGATGCTTTGTGTGCTTATAAATTACAATGATAAAAAGTTTCTTGTACTTTGCTGAGCATTGTACAAGCCATTTGTAGTTGAAGGTAGACCAACTTTTGTCATCTTATAAAACATGTCTTGTACACCTGTAGCAATTTTGTTAAATTTGAAACAGTTTAACTGTACATAGTTTTAGGCTTGTGGATATGAATTATAGAACACTTTGTACTGTATTTACAACTTCTAATCAGCAATTTAATAAAAATGACTATATTTTTTAAATACTATATACCTAATACAAAGTTTGTACCTTTTTTCAATCATCATGACTTTTTTACCCTAAATTTTTTAAAAAAGAGTCTTTTTTTGCTGTTGTTTGCCAGTTCCTTTTGACAGCAAAACAGCTTTGCTATGTACATGTACTTAACAATTTTCACTGCAAAAGAGATGAGAATGATGTTACAACTTTCCACTGCTGTTTCATGTGGGGGGACATTTGAATTAGGTATCCTCGATTGACGTCCAGCTCACTTTTCTATGATAGTATTGAGGCACACATCTTCACTTGTGCTTTGCAGTTTATGTAAGGTGCCCAAGCACAAACAGACTGACTCCAAGTATTTTTGGAATTGCATTGTTCTTCCTTATGTTGGCATTACTCAAGACCAACTACACCATTTCTCTATTTCACAGATGGAAGGCCTTCACGTGCATGTAACATTCGTTTTTTTGCCCTTTGGAATGCATCTGTTTAAAGAAAGCAATTGAATAGTAATAACAAATTAACCCTATTTTAGCAACAGGCCCACTTCACTAAAGGTGCTCTGGTGGGGCCCTGCAAATAAACATTAATTAGAGAAATAGAAATAAAATTATGTTCTATGAAAATTAAAGAGGATAAAGGCAGAGCAATAAAAAAAAAAGAATGAGTTTTAATTAATATATTAATGACATCAACAATTTCATGTATGCTGCAAAATAGAGCAGGTAATCAATATAAACTGGTATAAACTTTCATGCAGTCATAAAGCCAATAAACCCAAATTTATTTCTTTTTTAAACTGATTTTCAACTCACCCATAACTTGTGACAGAGAATCCAGGGCATTCATCCCTCTAAAATGTAACAATCACATCCACCAATCAAAAAGCACTGAAAACACCTCATGAATTATTTCTTACAATGCTTGGTAGCTTTGTAACTTATAAATGTGGTTACTGTGCAGATGTGATGAATGTAGGCACTCGCTTGGCAGGAAAATTTGAAGCTGTTTGAACACTAGCCTGCTAAAACAGCCGTCCTTCTTCGCTCCCGGCACGACACCACTCAGAACGGCTGTTTTCGCAGACTATTTGACCACAAAAATTTACAGACCTGTGTTTTAATAATGTATCAAGTCAAAAGCATGAGATAAGTTACCTACCCTAATCTGTCCAGTATGGTTTTGGTGCGCCGGGTTTTCTTTGTTTTTGAGTCCATAAAAGATCTTAAAATGAATTCACAATATTGGCATAGTATCAGACACCAGTCCAAAACATTGAAGTGTTCATTAGTGCAGCCGACATTAGTGATACTGAAGAGTTTAAACTTTCAGTGTTTTCACAAGCATTCCTCAAGGTCAGCATCTAGTCATCCAGTATTTATTTAACAGATAAAGAAACCTAAGCCGTGAATTACACCATAAAAAAAGAGGCATTTGCGAACATGAGGGAAATGTAGAAAACATGAGCTGCAGGTGAGTGTTTTCTACATTTCGCGAGTATTCTGAAATGTCCGGAGTGTTTTATCACAGTGTAATACACGGCTTAGGCTTCTTCATTTGCTTTATGATAGAGAGGTTATGTGACCAAAAATAATAAAACACTTTTTCTATGTTTTATACTCTGATACAACATGCGTTTTTGACCAATCAGAGTGCACGCAGGGTCCTATCTATATTACAAATACATAGAAGGTGCAGATTAGAATAATAGTACATACTGGCATTGTTGCATAATATGAAACTGTACAGTGACACTTCCAGAAGCAGCTGTCCTGAAGAAATATTTGCTCAAAACTTTTTCCTGTTGTTAAAGATAAAGAAAAATATAAAAATGAAAATGACTTCACCAAAAATAACCAAAACCCGCTGAGTGTATGTAAAAGTATATATTATTAATAGATACTTCCTTACATCAGCCATAGCAGGCTTTTGAGGATAAGTAGGATCCTCCAGTTCTGGTGATCCACCAATGAAGAACCGTCTCATCTCAGGAACTGGACCATTTCCTATTGGCCTCCAAGTGTTAACCTCAACAGTATAACTACCTGAGATATTAAAAATATATAACGTTTTAATAATATGGGTTATTGACCAAGCATGAGGTCAAGATGGCTGGTTATTGGCCAAGTTCTTTTTTTATAAACTGAGATCTATGGAGTTGAGGTCCATAAACACCCAAAAACAAGAACGAAGCCAATATCCAGCCAACTTGACTGAATCAGCTTGGTCAATAAAGGATTTATTATATGGAAAAAGAACACTATTTTCTTGCAGGACACAGCGGGTAATCCCAAGCTTGCAAGATAGTGTCATCTTGCCCGCTTGGGTAGCCAATCACAGCACAGGATTTAGTTTGTCTTGCCCACTCACAGAGCTAGTCATATAATAGACAGTATTATTACACGTAATTTACCATAGCCTTGGTGGCCAAATGGCTTGGTTAAATTGAGAGTTTGAGTGATTTCATTGTTATTGTTTGTGTTGTGCTCAGAGTAAGACACAGGCAAACACAAGCTCCCCATCTGACAGGGGTACCTTTACTTGAAACCAGAACATTTATGGTAATGTATGCATAATCCTCTCACCAGCTTTATTGGGTATGGTAATGTATGCATAACCCTCAGTCCTGAATCTTTCCCAGCTATCCAATGACAGCACTTCAAGAAATAGGGTGGGCCAGTGAATAAAATCATCTGAGAAAAAAGATAGGCTGACATTTATCATTTGCATCCAGACAAGAGCATACAGAAAAGTGTGACAAAACTTACCAGAATCTTCATCCTCTTGGTAAACTAATGAGAAGTCAAAGGGAAAACTGAAATGGGCAACATAGTCCTAAAATGCCAATAAAGTCAGTGAGAGTCATTGTTTAAAAATATCGACCTACCAAGGCAAGTGTGCAAATGTTCGGCGGCTCCTCCCAGCTTCCAAGCATGCAGTAATCTACTGGTTGAGTACATTTCAGACAATGAAACAGTGCTTGGCAGTAGCTGGAAGCTGGGAGAAGCTGCAGAACATTTGATTGACCATAGTGAAAAATGCATTTGCCGGTTGAGCTTTGAATTTTAAAGTCCACAATGCTATTGAAAGGTACAGTAAGAACTGTTAACCAAACAGTGCCCTCTGTCTGTTGCTTCAAGCAATGAAATGATAAACCCTAACCAAGTGCTAACGTGATGGATAATTATGGTGAGAAAAGTTCCCTGACCAACATCAAAGTTGCTTCATACTAATCCCTGTCATAAGATGTGTACCTCTGAAACGCAGGACATGATTACCATGTGATGGATTAGCACTGTGGAAACATGTATCATTCATTACCTCTCCTTCCAGCTTTGTTACACAGGTTTGTGTGACTCCTGACAACACTGGATCATCCATAGGCCTCCAATCTACAATGTAATTTAGAAACGAACATGCCCGTAAAACATCCCAAAAATATTGTCATTGAGCAAGCCTTGGACTGTGGTTCCATGCGATTAGCATCATTGACAGTTTTAAACATGATATGATGTGCTACTCCGTTGTGGTAATCAGGCTACACAGTATATTTGTTATTCCCCTGACAATTACTTTAAATACTTTTGATTCAGAGTTTACTGGCAGATAGCATTGTCAGTTTATTGCAGGAAATTTAGGTGTTGACTTACTTTGAGGCAAGTCCAGAAAAAAGTGCACATGTAGGCCATCATAGTCAAAGCCTTTAGCAGACACTGTTGAGAGAAAATAAAGTATAATAATTTAATAGTATAAATTTTGTGTCAAGAGGGAAAAAAGAATAAACGAGACTACATAAAGCAAATTCAAGAACTGAATAATTTACCTATTTCCCCCAAAATATTCATCCTCAAAACTCCAGGTTCTGGCTGTAATTTTTAAAAAATGAAAACTCTGTGACTAAATATACTAATCACCATGAAACTTTTCATTTACATTATTCTGTTAAAACACTTATAAAACAAGTTGAAGCTTTAAGCTTGCTGATTAAACTGCAAAATGTTACAAATTAATGATGTGGCTCCAACACAGCTTGGAGTACTCACTCATGTAGCTGATTATTTCCAAAATTCCAAAAGCCTTTTAAAGACATAAAATCAAGTCATACATCCTGTATGGACTGTACTTGATAGTATTCAACGGTAGTCACCTTAACATGCATCAAACTTACCACAGGATCAAAGCCAGATCCAACTTGTGAGGCCAGATACAAAGCATGTCTATTATAGAGCTGCAGAAAAATAAACAATGCATTTCCTCATAGACTGGTAGTAATAAATATTTAATAATCTTGGAACAATCTAACATTTCTTTAATAAACTTGCAGGCAATTTAAAAGAAACATACCTCATTGAAACTCTTAAATTCTTGTTCTCTTTGATCACTGAAATTATCAGTTGAAAACTTTTAATGCTTCACTCAGTTAAAGAGCATGTCATGAAATGAGTACCAAGAAATTCATAACTGGGAGAAGTAGATATCTAATTAATCCAGAGATATCAGCATCCATTTCACTTGATGCCGCAAAAGTGCAGCAGAGGCCTGATTCAAAGATTCCAAGATTCCTAATGCTAACTGGAATTCACATCCTGGTATATAATATTCCTTACTGGAAGTTTTACGCAAACAAGGAGCCTATTGTGAAGTATTGTATTTTTAGATTTATCTAAGTGAGGGCCAAAAGTTTGTTAGTGAATGTCCACTATTATGTGTTAACCCTTGATAAATGAGGGCTTTACTTAGTATACTTACAGTACTTATTTACTAGCCTGCCCTCTATCTCGGCATAATAAATTATTGCAGGCCTTGTTCGCAAAATTGTTAGCAACTATACGGGACCGGAAGGATGTGAACAATTTTATTCAATACTCCATATAAGTTAAATACACTTAACAATTTAATATATGTGTTTTTGGATACCTTGTCATTTGCATGGAACAGTGCTCAATGGTATATTCATAAACCTCTGAAAGAGAGAAGTACATTCTTAAAACCGTTACACATGTGTCGATGAAATAATACCATTAGACTCTGGGCATAATATTAATAAGTACATTCTTAAAGCCATTACTCATGTATCAAATGTTGAGACAGTGCATGAAATAATACCATTAGACTCCGGGCATAATATTAACAAATAGATCTAATGAATGAAATTGCATAACAATGTATCATCACTGAAAATTAACTGTTTTACCACAAATATTCCCACTGGCAAGTTCTTTTGTTCTGATGAAGTGGGCTGGCATAGTTGTCATTAAGCACATCCATACAGAATATAAATTATACAGTACCCATAATAACATGGAGCATACCTCTGAGATCATTACATGTCTCAATACGATATGGAGGTCTTTCCCCATTGAAATCAGGTTTGACAAAAATTTGACCATTGACATCAATCTACATGTAAACAAAATAGGCATTCAAAAAAATTAATTGAAGGAAACATTTGATATAATTTTATGTAGTCCATGNGGAGGCAGGTTCTTTTACTGGAACTAAGACCATGGGAGCTGGTTACTAGAGAAAATTTTTCTCATTGTTTTTACTGTGCCTTTCAGCCTTTCTTGCTGCCGTCAGTCATCTTAGCAGACCTCTCAGAATGTTTACTTCAACAAATTTCATATGGTCACATTTGTGGCATGTGATTGCTTGACGTCCATCCATTGTGTTCATTCCTTATTTTCAAGGTTGGTTGTCATTGTATTATGAATGAGAGCAGCAAAACATGCAATCATTAAATTATTATGTTTTGCATTTCTAAGTTTGGGTGAAAGGTGAAGTAATGATGGTATGTTTGTATTTTACATTCACCTTGACAGAGAACAGAACATATTCATCCTCTTGATTGCTTTCAGTTCTAAAAGACACGAAGTACATTCAACAGTTTTTTTCTCAAATGGTATAGAGCGAATTCTGGTAGTTATAATGTGTTTTCAATATCTACACAGTCATGTAGTTTCTAACTGCACCATACTGTGCTATTGCACTATGCTACTGCACTATGCTAAATTTCTTTTAGTTCAAGTATCATGTTTAGAATATATTATTTTCGCCCAGATTCTGCTCATACATTTACTGATCAATGCCAAAGGCTAGTGTGCTGGGTTCAAGTAATGTACTCCCTTTATTCTTTTGAATCAACACACAATAAAATTGGTTGCCATGGTAGTAACATTCACACTGTCAGATAATCACTTACTTTCCTTCTGGAGAGAGGTCTGCCATGATATGCATGGTCTTGTAAGGAATGTTTATTACATGTGCTGTTGTCTTGCTTGTCTCAGTCTCATGGACAACCACGGGATTGGCACGAGAAGCAAACCCTCCAGGCCGATTTCTGGAAAAGAAAATTAAAAAAATTTCCATACCACTAGGCTTTTCTGTTCTTTAGTTTATTTATTTACTAAACATAGTAAAAACATTGCTTGACCAGTACAACAGACCTTCGATCGACCTTGGTTCCAACATTTCTTCTTCTAACGCTTGTCATGTTCTTTGCCAAGAAGCTTGGCACTTCAGAAGGGCAAGTTGTAAGAGTTCTTGATTCCTAATGTCAATAATAAGGGAAGGTTAATATTGGTTACTCACTCACAAATTATTCCTTACACTTAAAGGTTTCAAGATTGATCGGTATCTTTAGATCTCTGGCAGCATGTAAATCAATTGTAAAATCAAATAAATGGGTGACAGGAATTCTCAACTGACAAGGGAATTTTGCCTTTAGTTAGTTTGTGTTCACCAAGTTCCCAGAAGTACACTGTTACATGAAACATCAAACATTACTGTATTGCAGCGACTGCTCAGAAACCATAAATTAAATGAACATTTCAAACCAAAGACTAAAACCACTTGAAAGGTTTCTAAATGTCATTAACCTACCTCATCCAGGTTAACAAAACTATCACTCTCAACATAGGAAAACAATCTTTTGTTTGGTCTTCCACCCTTCTTTCTAAATAGCAAACAAGACATCAAAAAAGTGCCTAGTACTATATCTTGATAAACATGATTGTTTAGAAAACAGTCCTAAGAAAAAACGCACGCTGATTGGTTAAAAATTTTGTTTCTATAACTCAATAGAAACACAGAACTAGCACGAGCTGT